ATGACACGCTATCAATTCTACACTCGGCTATCCTCCGTGATACGGTCTGTGCCGAGGAGCGACCGACTATTTCTGCTGGGTGATTTCAACGCGCGCGTTGGGCGTGACGCATCAGAGTAGACAGATGTTATCGGTTCGCATGGCATTGGTTCAGCGAATGCGAACGGTAACAGGCTGCTCTCACTGTGTGCCACTCACGGCCTGACGATCACCAACATTCGGTTTGCACTGAGTGCGAGTGGTGTAACAACTTGGACGCACCCACGAAGTGGTCATGCTCACCTGCTCGACTATGTCATCGTACGTCAGCGTGATATGCGTGTAGTGCGCATGACACGTGTACTGCATGGAGCTGAGTGTGTCACTGTTCATAAGTTGGTGCGGACCAAACTGTACATATATTTTCGTAAATCAATGTATTGCACTCCCGCCGTGAATCGGCGTAAATTTAACATTCTCTCCCTCGGTACTGTGGCGAAACGTACTGAGCTGGAGAAGGCGATGGCTGCACTCCTGTGTGATGTGGACTGCATAGCCACAGTGGGCGACCTGTGACACCACATTCGCGATCAGGTGACAGCTGCTGCCGAGGAGACCATCGGGCGCGCAAACTGTAAACGGCCTGATTGGTTTGATGACAACAATGTGATGATTGTCGCATTGGTGTCGGAGAAGAATGCAGCATTTGCTGCACATGTTGCAGATCCCAGTGACTTGGGGAAGAGTAGTCAGTTTCACAAACTTCGACGGCGACTGACCCGAGAGCTCCGTCGCATAAAAAATGCATGGTGGACGGAGAAGGCGAAGCAGATGGAATGCTACGCCGAACGCCGCCAACACAAGGAATTCTTTGACTCCTTGAAGGCGGTGTATGGACCGAGATTGGAGCCGCTGAGGACACTGATCGATGGTAGTTCAGGCGTTACCTGCACCCAGACTGCAGACATAATGCAGATCTGGCGAAAACACTTTGACTGTCTCTTGAACAACCGTTCAGAGATCGACTGGCCTACATTGAACGGCCTCAAGAAGCACGATGTGAAGAAGAATCTGTAGGATATGCCGAGACTGGATGAGACGCAGAGAGCACTTGCTCAGCTGCGAAACGGCAAATGTGCCAGAGGTGACGGGATCCCACCTGAAGTATTGAAACACGGTGGACCCGCGTTGTTGACTGCGCTGCACCACTTGGTGCAACGCGTATGGATTGAGGAGGAGGTGCCTGCTGAGCTGAAGGATGCCCTTGTGCTACCACTGTATAAGGGCAAAGGTAGCAAGCAATGTTGCACGAATTATCGTGGCATCAACTTGCTGAGTTGTGTGGACAAGGTGATTGCCCGAATCCTGCTCAATCGCCTCGTGAGTCAGGTTGTGGAACCTGAACGTGGCGGAAGAGCAATGTGGATTCCGTTCGGGTCGCAGCAATATAAATATGGTGTTTGCCGCTTGTCAGTTGCAAGAGAAGTTCAGAGAACGACACCAGCCATTGTACTCGCTTTTTGTTGATTTCACCAAAGCATTTGATACGGTGAACCGCGAGGCATTGTGGCTGGTGTTGGGTAAGTTTGGTTGCCCGCGTAAGTTTGTAAGTTTAATTGAATGTCTGCACAGTGATATGCGAGCGAGGGTGCAGCTGAGTGGAGAGACCTCGGATGACTTTGCAGTTGTCTCTGGTGTGAAGCAAGGCTGTGTCTTAGCTCCTGCCCTGTTTAATATATATCTTCATGCAATGTTGTCTTGTGCTTTTGATGCGGCTTGTGCTTACGGTGTTCGTGTGGAGCACCGTATTGATGGTGGGTTGCTGAACATCCGTCGTTTCGGTGCGAGAACTCTAGTCTGTGAGACAACTATCCGTGTTTCTGTTTGCTGACGACTGTGCGTAGTTTTCACACAGCGCGGATGAGTTGCAGCACATGACTAGTGCTCTGGCTTCGACAGCGGCCATATTCGGGCTCATCATCAACACAAGCAAAACTGTCTGTCTCTTTCAGCCTTCACCGGAGGTGCAATCTTCACTATTGCCGCGAATCAGCATTGGTGCTGAAGTATTGGAAACCACCTCCCGCTTTTGCTACCTTGGGAGTGTGATGTCGACTGATCAGCAGCTACACAGTGAGTTGCGTAATCGCGTGTCGAAGGCGGCAACGGCATTCGGGAAGCTTGAGTACCGAGTGTGGAACAACCATCAGCTTACCATTGGCACGAAGCTGATGGTGTACAAATCCATGGTACTGTCCGTTCTTCTATACGGCAGTGAAACGTGGACGACGTACCGTTGGGATGTGCGATATCTCGAGCGATTCCATCAGCAGTGTCTGCGACGAATTTTGCGCATCGGCTGGGGCGACAGAGTTGCAGACACGGAAGTGTTGCGCCGAAGTGGGATGTATGTAGTGGACGGCATACTTTTACTGAGACACCTGAGATGGCTCGGTCATGTGTGGCGCATGGATTCGACTCGGATACCGAAACAACTCTTATACGGTCAGCTGAGTATAAGGAAGCGGCACGTGGGGAAACCAAAGTTACGTTACCAGGACGTGACCAAAGTGAGCCTCACACGTTCTAATCTTGATTGCAGATCGTGGGAATCGAAGGCGGTTGATCGTGGTGCATGGCGCGATCTAATCACGAAGGCAGTTGCTGAAGTGCGGGAGAAAGACCTCATGCATGCAGAGAAGAAGCGGCAAGTGGGGAAGCGGCAAGCACCGATGGATAGTACTCCATCGACATCGAGTGCATGGTGCTGTAGCACATGCGGTCGCGAGTGCCTGATTCAGGCAGGCCTAGTGAGCCATGAGAGAGGTCACTCGGGACCACTGCCGAAGCGACGACGGGTCCCGCAGTGAACGTAGGCAGCACCGGCGCAGCGTTTGTAGGCACGCTGAATTCGATTTACTAACCGCGTGCTTGCATGCTAAGTTTCTTTATTTCAGGTGGTGGGTTTTCGGTTCTGTCCTAATGCCTTTCTTTCTCATATAAATGTCTAATGTCTAGTGGGCCATGCGCTAGGCCCTTTGGGGCCACTAGAGAAGCGACGACGGGTCCTGCAGAGAATTACGGCGAGCCGGCGCAGCGTTTGTAGGCACGCTGAATTCGATTTACTAACCGCGTGCTTGCATGCTAAGTCTCTTTATTTCAGGTGGTGGGTTTTCAATTTTGCCTTAATGCTTTTCTTTCTCAAATAAATATCTCCCTGTACTCTATTCCATTAACTTGCACACTTCGCTTAAGCCAATTGTATTCGATTTCCATAACATTTTTGTATTCGTGGCATTTCCGTGAAGTATACTTTCTGACCTCGTGCACTTAGCTAGGATTTGTTTGTAAACAACTTATTACATATGCTATTTAATTAAGGTTTATGTCACCGTTTCCTTATGCATTAATCGAGTTATTTTCTTTGTATCTCTCTCTCTCTCAAGTGATTGGCTGTTGTTTAATATCCCCGGTGTGGATGCGCTTGATGTGCATGTTGACAAGGTGCCTACCTGTCTATTACCCACTACCTCGTCCATACTGGCTCTAGGAGACAGTTGGTCGTTGCTGGAGGGGACGGGGTCCACGGTCCTTGTGGCCGTGCTAGGCTCAAAGAGCGGTTCCATTCACTCAGTGTGGAGCGGACTACGATCCAGCCACCGCCTTATGTGCGATTGATTCCCAAATACAGCGTGCTTGTGTTTGCCTGTGAAGGAGTGTGGGCCGGCTCCGTTGATGAAACGTGGCTCCCATCCACATGACTCCCGGTTTTATTCCTTCGGGTTTACACTGGATATGGGGTGTGTGTTTGGAGCTGTGGGTGGTGCAGCGCAAGCCATCCATGGTCCCTCTGTAGGCGCAGGCGTCCTGTGGCTTGCCACAGTGACAGGCAAATCCGAAACTGGATGCCGCCAACCATGTGATAGAGGAAAGTGCTAACCGAGGGACAGAGGATCGACAGAATGCTTAGGAACCGCTTCATTTCATAAGTGGAAGCCACATTGTGTGACTCCGTTCTTTCGGCCTCCTGTTTCATATCCTGGACTTTTCTGTTTAACTGTTATGGTTTTGCATCTCCGACGCTATAGTTCCGCCATTGAATAATAATACACTAATAAATCCCCTTACTACTCCAATACTCAGTAACCGCCTTAGCAACTTACGTGCCACATCTACTGGGGGCAGCTTGCAAAGGTAGGATTTTCTCTGGGTGTCATTACTCTCCTCTGCACTTCCCCACATACATGAGAGTGGAGTATGAGCCGCGCTATATAGCAAATTGAAATCAGTCATGGCGGTATGTTGCCGGGTCCCATGGTTTAAGTCGCTAACTCGTTGTAGTAAGGTCATGGGTTCAGATCCATCAGCATCCAATGGATACGCGCTACTGGCAGTCTCAGTAGGATGAAACGGCTGCTTAGCGCTTTCCCATATGTGTGGCTGTCTAGTTGTAACGAACCTTCACAATAAACACAATATACCACCCAGTACTAATAGTTTGGCTGTTTTCACTCTTACCGGGATTGGGATGACTCATGTTAAGGGCTTTTTAGGACGATGAAGCAGCAGTATTTTCCATTGTGGTTGCATGGGTCTCTTTAAAGGTGAGATTGAATTTGACACTAATTCTTGTGTAGAGGAGATTTTTGTAAGATTTTGTAAGCATCGTGTCTATACTGATGAAGTTTTCTGTAGGGAAATTTGCAGTACCAGAGGATTGGGTTTGTATCTAGCTTGTCCAACGAGCATTACATAAAATTTGCTTCTGGTGTTACCGAACTATTTATGTACGATTTATCAGCGTCTCTGTTGCTCCGAAATTTAGGACTATTCTGGTGCGTGACGTGCGAGGTTTTACTAGGTGCTTCCTGGCGTTTCTCTTGCTGATCCTTGGCGCAATTTTGGACTCATTCGTATCTGGTAAACATTATTTCATTTACGTTATGGTATTAGATAAACCTTTCGGTTTCTTTTTTTCTCTTGAGGTTGCCGAATATCGTTTTAATCGTTAATGCTTTTAGAGCAAGTAACGCAATCTGGTGTCACCTAATCGGTGGGGTCGTCTCCTTCGGTAATCCAATGGATTCACTGGTTCACGGGTTGACTAGAAATATTGAAATATGGATAATGCGCTTTCTCAGTACTCCGGCCCCTTTGCCTGGGAAAAGCTGCGTTCAGGTGAGTACATCGTAATGTGGTTATTCAAACCAAATTGCTGCTTTATGTATTCAACCTTTAAAATTCGTTAGACCACTACACGACCAAGAGGACGTTGAACTCTTATTTATTTTTCTTGGAACTCCTCAGCATCGCGCTCTTCCATTGAATCCCATTATATTCGTACTATTGACTCTCGTACGAGAATTTATTCGCAACCGGTAAGGTACCTCTTATTTGCTCAGTCGATCTGACCGTGCTATAAACGGTGGCATAATACTGCTCATTCTACACCATCATACACATTGTCGCTGTGTGGGAGTAATCCAACCGTCCGCCCAGAGAACTCCGCGTGCACCACTAGCAGAGACTTCTATTGTGCTGTGATATACTAACACAGGAAGTTTGTATTTAGGTTTTGACGATCGCTCCATTGGGAGTGGTCGACACTTTCCCCTCCGTTGAACTCACTTCATCGTCACGGGACTTGTGGCTCTCGCTTACTTGCCTCCTCTGCTTCATTGAGCTCACATCACGGTACATGCTTTGAGGGTGACGCGTAACCGACTTATCCGCCTTCTCTTCCCGGCCGTTTGGCTGCGCTAGGAAATGCATCTTCCTGTCAGTGTCAGCGTTTGTTCCTGGTGCACTAATTCTCGCATTGCAGCCTGGTTAACCCATGGCGCTAAAAGCGCAAGTTCGGTTGCTGTTTCTAAAAGAGTTAAGGTGATCACTGTTTGCTAGTAATCGTCTTTAGTGGTAATAATTCTCACCCCACTCTACTTACTTTGTGCATCACACCTATACCTCACCACCAAACCGATCACCTGTATATTCACAGCACCTCCACAATGCCACATTGCTTTGGCTACCTAAACAGGTGCATGCACTTTGTCCTAACCCTGTGTCATTATCCGCTCTCTTCGTTCGTCCAGCTGTTTTCGCTTCCCACTGTGATTTGTGCGTAATATTCATTTCACTCCTGCACCATTGGAAATAGGCACTTGTGTTTACATTACAGCTGTCTCTGTTACCAATTCCGATTGCTCAACCTATGGTGTTCGCTCTGCCGGATAAAACGCGCCTTTCTTTGGTGGATTTCCCACTTCATCTACCACTGGAGCTACTCGGAGTGGACAATTGCCTGAAGGTTCTGACCGCCATCATGTTGGAACAAAAGGTAGAGTCATTCGAGTCGACGCGCAAAATGTACATTTGTTACACTCGGAGTTGTGCCTCTATGCTTCAGCTACTCGATTATCTCCTCTCGGTTATTACTCCATGGCGTTTACTATTTCATGATAACCAGCCGAATTCGTAACAATAAGGAACGAAGAAATTAACTGATAGGCTTGGCTTAGTGCGTGTCGATATCGCACTGTCTGAATGTCAGTGGCATTCGTGCGCTTCATTCCTAGTTTGCAGACTTTTATTTTTCCATTTTATTTGTTTGTTACCTCATTCATGCTTTGTCGTATCTTTTCAATTTACTATAATCTTCAACCATCTTTTCCTTTTGGTTTCCTGCCAACCGGATTCATTATTTAGCTGCCTGGACTATGGTTTTTTAGCTAAACTGATCCGATTTCGTTAAGCTGCCGTTACCCTCACTAGGTATTTAGTTCAGAAAGAATCTTCTTCTTAACCCTTTATATCCTGGCGGTACTAATAAGTACCTCGGTTTAAACTGTAACATTGCTTAAACCTAAACATCATTCCTGACGGTATTCACGAGAATACATACAACATCCTTCTCTCTACATCTAGTAAAAGGCCAAAACTATGATACTTTGCTCTGCAGTGTGTGGAGTTAACTTTTGTAATTCATGTCCAGCGTGGTCGAAAATTGGTTTCAAAGAACCTTAAGTAGTTGCTTTATTTGTTTAAATTTAATTGGTTTTGTTTCAGCTTGCCTGTTTCATAACTTATTCTTTTTGTTCTGGATATGCCATGATTCTGTACATTTTTTAAAAACTTTATGCATATACTGTACTATATTGATCGGAAATAGATGTTACCAGAAACTACCACCAGGCCTCAAGCATAATAATAACAGTTAGTGCAGAGTCAGATATATTGAACTTCGCAAATCTGTAACTGAACGGCAATAATACCGTCCCAGAAGGTAACTTGGATAAACGTTATAAGATGAAACCTCTCATTCGGGATCTCAGTCACAAATATCAGATGATTCGATTAGCTCATGTAGTACAGTACAGATGAGAGCATGGTTCTCTTCACAGGTCGCTCAACCCTAATACAGTGTAACAATTAGAGGCTTTGCTATATTACCGAATCAATCAATCCATCAATCGATGGACTATCGGTTTTGGCCACACAAGCTGATATCACTTCACACGACCACGACGAACGCTCAAATTCCAGTGATCAGACTGTAAAATTAAATACCATACGCACTTTTAGGCGCGCTCCTTCGTACACACCTATGCATCCATCAATATCAAGACCTTCTGTGTATTACAATCGTGCGTCGAAACACAGGCTTTTCCTAACTAACGGTTTACCCAATGAACCATAGATAAGTCAGACATTATTTTGTTTCCATTGTATTCATTTATAAACCTTATTAAATACGAACTGTACATATTGCTCAGACAACTATTCCTCAAGCGATTACCCACTCATGTTCTGTCTGTCCCCGCCGCAAATGCCGACAACGTTCCATTATCTCAACTGGCGAACATAGCGTACAGGATTCTAGAAATTCAACCTAGTTCTACCAACATAAACACTGTTGACCTTTCTTTTGCACTCCCCGCCATCAGCTCTCGTATTGACGACTTAGCGCAACAAATCACAATGTTACACCTTAACCGTGCTCCTAACCGCCGTATCTAAAATCATTCATGCGCGCGCTCACGCTCACGCTCAGACTCCTCACAGCGGCACTCAAAGTACTGTTGGTACCATGAGACGTTTGGTCGTCTAGCCCGCAAATGCACACCACCTTGCTCATTCCGATCGACTAACTTTTCATCGACGTCCCAGACAGGAAAAGAAATAGCTCGGACATTAGAGGCGAGTAATGTCCAAGGCAACCACCACTATATCACTCGCCGTTTGCTTATTCTGGATGGAAATTAGGGTCTCCGATTCCTCGTTGACACTGGCGCAGACATTGGCATCATTCCGGCCACACCTACCCATTTCAAAATTTCACCCTCATCGCTTAGCCTGAGAGCAGCTAACGGTACAGTGATTCAAACTTACGGGCAACGATCATTAAACCTTAACCTCGGCCTACGCCGAGAATTTCAGTGGATATTCATTGTTGCTGACGTCCATCAACCGAATTTGGTTACAGATTTCCTCATGCACTTTAATCTGTGGGTTGACCTTAAACGCCAATGTCTACTTGATGCTGACACAGCTTTACGTTAAGAGACAATCACGTCACCCCATCAATATTTCCATTGACATTTTCTACACTCGACGCTTCATCATATCATTTGCTGGTTCGTGAGTTTCCGAAACTGCAAAGACCCAATTTCCACAAACCAAACCCAAAACATGCTGTTTTTCATCACATCAATACCCTTGGCTCACCTTTTTTTCACCTCCACGTCGCTTACATCTAGAGAGACTAGCTAGTGCCAAGCAGGAATTTCAACTTATACTTCAATTAGGAATCATCTGATCTTCTCAGAGTGTATGGGCTTCACCGGCTGGCTTGCCGAACTACCTTCTCGTGGTGCCAGCTGGGTGGTTCGGGTGTACCCCGTTCCAGCAAAGTGTTCGGCGACAATGTTTCACCTCCGTGGGGCATTGTATTCCAGCAATTGTGCTGACTCATGGGGAGTATTGGGCCCCTGTTTGGTAATCTACCAAACAAGGCCGCATGAACTAATCATTCAGTCAACGCCTTCCAATGGGCGCGATTCCCTAAATTCGCCCAGCTGCCTTGCGGGTAGGTTATTTAGCCAAAGGCTCGGGGTGGAGTCCCCCAAGTTAACTCCCTACTTCAGCTTGGGCAACCGGGTAGTATCACGCCCTCTCGCAAAACCATGGACTGTATTACAACGCGCTCATCAGCTACTGTTCCTGCTACTCACTTTCACACTACTTCATCACACGCCAATTGTTTGTTTGCTAACAATCCTCACTTTCGGTTACCCGATTCATCTGTTCAACAATTTGGCTGCGATTCCGGTTGCTCCGCAGATCAAGGAGTTCAACCTATGGCTCTCCTTCGTCCCCGATCCTCGTTCCGTCTGGCGTGCTTCAACGTTCGGACACTCATGCAGAATGGACAGCAAGCCGGTCTAGCGCGCACCCTAGATTCCCTAGACGTTGATGTCTGCTGCCTTTCAGAAACCCGACTGCAAGATCCCAGCACTGTGCTTACATTGACATCCTCCACTGACCACGAAGCCAGATATCACCTGCGTCTTTCTGGAGATCCAGAAGCAGCCTCAGCGGGTTTGGCTGGTGTAGGTATAGCACTGAGTGGCAAGGCCGAGGCGGCTCTACTGGACTGGTTCCCGATTAACAGCCGACTATGGGCAGTTCGGCTTCGCGGGGTTCATGTAGAATCAGCAGGCACCGCGAAGAGAGACGCAACTTGTTTGTGATCTCCGTGTACGCTCCAACTGACTGCAGTGGCGACTCGGTCAAGGACGAATTTTACCGAGATCTACATCAGCTCTTGACTAATGCTAAAAAGTCGCATGTCGTTATCCTTGCTAGGGATTTTAATGCAAGGGTTGGCCGCCTGTTACCATACGAACGCCACCTTGGTGGTCATCACGCGCTCGATGAGAACCGCTCTGATAACGGAGAGAGACTTCTCACATTGTGCGAAGACAACCGTCTGTTTCTTTCGAGCACTAGCTTCAGGCGTACGAAGAAGCGTTCCGCAACGTGGCGTCCCCCTTCGCCAACACAATCGTGGTCTCAAATTGATCACATTGCAATTTGCTTCAGATGGCACGGCAGCGTACTGGACTGCAGATCCTTTTGGTTCACCTTCGTTGACTCAGATCATGCTCTGGTCTGCGCGAAAATCTGTGTGTTTTGGAGGATCCCGAAACACGAAGCACCGCAAGATTGATGTAAACAGATTAACCGATTCCTCTGTCCAGGCGAGCTATCAGCCTTCACTGGCATATGCACTCAGTTGCAATCTACCGCAAGAAGTGGAACAACACTAGACTTGTATAAGGAAAGCGATGACCATTTCCGGACGGTCATGCTGCAGTCTAACTCAACGCCCCTTGAAGGCTTGGATCTCTGCTCGTTCTCTGGAGCTGTTAGAACGCCGCAAAGATATCCCCGCGGAATCAGATTGCAACGAGCAGCGCCGTTCTGTCAACCGGCTGCTCAAGCAAAGCCTACACAAGGATCGCGTGACATGGTGGTTTGAGGCTGCTTTGGGTATGGAGACCGCTGTACCCTCTGACAACACTCGCAGGCTTTTCCAACTCATTCGGTCCACTGGCCTCAGGAAACCTGGTGTCAGTGAGGTCATTTGTGAGGTGGATGAGTCTCCGATCACCAACCAACAGAGGCGTATGGACCGCTGGACTTTCAATCGCAGGTCAACTGGCCTCCACCATCCATCCGAACATGCTGTACACCTTGTTGTCCACCCTGGCTCGTCCCATTGAATCCACCCAGCGAAGCGGAAGTCTGCCTCGAGATTCGACGCTTGAAGCACTTCAAGGCTGCCGGCTTAGCCGGACTTCCTCTGGAGCTATTCAAGTACGGCAGTGTGGCGATCATTAACCAGCTGACCGCGCTGTTCGCAAAAATTTGGCATGAAGAGAAAGTGCCTTCCTCTTGGGGCGAATCAGTTATTGCCCCGATTTTCAAGAAAGGCGCTCGCACTTCATGTGCAAATCATCGCGGGATTAGTCTTATTTCGGTTTCCTCTAAGCTATTGGCATCCATTCTGCTTCATAGACTATCCCCAGTATGTGAATCATACTACCGTGAAGAACAAGCTGGTTTTCGTCCTGGCCGCGGATGCGTGGATCAAATCTTCACGCTCCGCCAACTCCTTGAACATCGCCACATTTAGCACAGGCCTACTATCGTTGCATTCCTAGACATACGTGCCGCTTTTGACTCCGTTGATCGACCTGCTTTATGGCGTTGCTTGCTAAAGAAGGGGGTTCCAGAGAAATATACCGCCACCTTACGAGCACTTTACCTTCATAC